TAAGAGTGTTTACATTGGTCTCTTCTGGTGTATTTCAGAGTTAGACACGGTATACACTCATGTGCACACACGTGTGTGTATCTTGACACCTCAGAATCAGACAACTGAGCAACATCATGGCTCTCCTTACTATCTACATGACCATCATGATTATTGACAGTTACCTAACTGCCCTTTGTATCACCTTTATTTTTAATCTGCAAAATGGGGTCATGAGTATGACTTTGTGGTAACAAAGTGTTGAAACAGTTCAGTGAAATCATTGCAAATGCAATGTTTACCATATAGTAGCTGCTCATAAGCAGCAGCAATTACTGTGTTAGCAAACCATGGCAAAAATAGATTGGAGTAGTTTATGATATTACAAATATAAATAACAATAATAACAATACCAGATGTATTCTGGTTTACTGTTTACAAAGCACATTCATAGGCTTCTCTTAAATAATAAGTTTTTGATGATACATGGAATAAATATTCAATATGCACTCTTCTAAAAATCCACTAAAGAGAATGTTACTGAAGAAAGAAAGGTTCTATTAAAATAACTTTTACAAATCATTCAATTATTTTCTTTTGTTAAGAATTTTAGTTCTATTTATGTTTACTGGATAGGGTCTTGAGACTTAAAAATATGTGCCATTATTCACTCAACTAAAATAGGCAGATTAGTGTGAAATGATGTGCAAAATTTTGGGAAAAAAATTGAGTCCTAAAAGAAACTGAATTTCTGTCAAGCAGCATTGATTAATTTTATTTTACTTTCTTCACCCAATTTAGTCACAATATAAAACAAACTCCTATAAATTAATTGTAGAAAGACATAGTAAAATAACTTTTCTAACAAATAAATCTTTAAACAAAAAATTTATAACTCTCTTGGGAAGGTAATTTATGTTACAATTAAACAAATTAAAGATGATCCACAGGGTCAATTTAATGGTCTTTAATAAGAGGCACAGGTTTGTATCTCACCTGTATTGAAGTTGCCAACAGATTGCCCTCAAAATCTTTCTCACCTTAGTAACTCAAGTGGCTGTTTTACAGGAGTCATAAGAAGTTGTTTTGTTTATCAGATAACAAATACCAAGGATCATTTTCTAATCTAGTGAATGTAAACTAGGTCATCCTCAGATATTAAATATCCTTTCTAAAAAATATAGTTTGTGTTACCTAAACTTAAATGTAAAATGTACATAATTGTATAATTATCAATCCAATGAAGGATGTAAAATATTATTTTAGCATATCTCTGAATATTCTTAAGAGTTTAAGCAGCACCAGATTGGACCTGGTGGAGTGGAAGGAAGGGAGGGAGGATAGGAATGGGAAAGTCAGTAGAATGAATCAAACATAACTTTCCTATGTTCATATATGAATACATTACCAGTGTAACTCCACATCATGTACAACCACAAAAATGGGAAGTTATACTCCATGCATATGTGATATCTCAAAATACATTCTACTGGGGGGAGGGAGGGAGGGGGCCTGGGGTTTTGGCTTAGTGATATAGCGCTTGCCTAGCATGTGTTAGGCACTGGGTTCAATTCTCAGCACCATATTGAGTAAATAAATAAATTAAATAAAGATATTTAAAAAATACATTCTACTGTCAAGTATGACTAAAAACAACAAATAGAAAAAAGAGTTTCAGTAGTACTGTTTGGATTAGAGAAAGGGGAATGATGGGAAGGGAGGGAGAATGGGAATAGAAAAGAGTAGAATGAATTGGAAATTACTTTCCTGTGTTCATATATGAATACCCAACCAATGTAATTCCACATCATGTACAAACCAAAGAATGAGAAATTGTACTCCATGTATGTATAATATATCAAAATACATTCTATTGTCATGTATAACTAAAAAAAGAACAAATAAAATTTTTTTAAAAAGAGTTTAAGTAGTACTGAATCATTATTTTACTTCTGTTCTTCTTTGGGAAGAAAATATGTAACATGGAAGGCTATCTTCAAACATTTTGTGAAACAAGGTAAAACATAATTAGAGTTTACATGTACAAAAATTACAGGATGGGCTTTAAAACATAAGTATATAGTGGGGCATAAAAATTAAATAACATCTTAAATATAAAATCGCAAATCAATATAACTTTGCTTTTCTCAATGAATATTCATTAATTGAATTAAGTTATTATTTAATATTAATATTAACTTAATATTCAATTTATCGATTAGCTATTCTCTCAAATCATTTGCTTTTGGACATGTGAAGATATAGAACACAGGAAAATTTACAAGCTCAGTTTTACATGAAAAGTTTGGCAGGTTAGAAGAAAAAGAACAAGGCTGAGATTCAAGCAGAAAGCACATATGTTAGCTGGGTAGATTTAAAAGAACTAAGTTCTTTTTTAAGATAACAAAGACACATGATGAAAGCTACACACAAATCTGGGGAGCTAACTCTACCTCCTTGATTCTTTGCTCCCAGAACCTCCACCATCAGTCCCTGATATGAAACAAATTGAGATCTTTGAGTTCTTGGAAAACAACGAAGACCTTTTCAGCTCTACTGAAGGTCAGGCCCCTGGGATATGTGCAGGTAATTATTATTTTCCTGTACTGTCTAATGTATTATGAGTCTACTAACATGAAAAATTATAGATCTCTATAATGAAGAGTTAATACCCAAATGACTCAATATTTATTTTTAATGAATTTCTGTAATACAACCGAAAAAACATACTATTATGTATTATTGCTATTACAAACAAGTGTTTTGAAGTCATGAATTCCAGAATCATAACACACAAATGAAAAAGTGAAAATCATGGAAATGAATATTTTCAATTTTGCTATTACTAGAGTTAATACATAATAATTTTCTATGGGGCAAAATATTCAAAGTATTATTTTACTTCTATAGCCTTTTACAAATCATGTACTATATAAATAAATAGACACAGAACTAGAAAATAAATAATACGGAGTCAAGGTCAAATAGGGCAGCCCCTGGATTATAAATACCCAATAATCAGCAAGCTATAAAGTCATTGCCCCACATGTCCATGATTTGAAATTTTTCTATAGCTGCAAGATGATAGTCATTGTAAAAAGTCAAAACAAACAAAATAAGTTTTACAAACCTTACAATTTTTAAAAAATAATGGCTGCATTCAGTGTTCAGAAGTGGAGGATGGGGTAAGTTGTGAACACACACTGAGCTTAGGGAAACCAGCCTCACTACAGAAGGTCCACTGCCCAGAACAGTGACCTCCTTGATAGAGAATGCTTTCTCCACTCTGTGTGTGTGTGTGTGTGTGTGTGTTTTATATTTCTAAAGATCTGCATACAAGGGATTGTGGGGGCTTAATAAAGATTCCTTTAAAGAAAATAAAAATGTTCAGCAAGTTTTATAGTCTCCTTGACATTTACAGTTTAGTATGAACAGATTCAACTAAAATTGTTTAAAATCATTCAAATTAATTGCACCAAGAGATCCGAAGTTATCCCTTGTACATTTTCAGGTGTTCAGGAAAGGCCCTTGGGCTCCCAGTCTGTAGAGGGGTCACAAAGAACTGAAAAAGGAGTGAAGAACTGGAGGCGGGAGGACATACTAAAATTCAGTTGGCCCATGAGGAAAAGAGAAGAAATTTTCTTTTACTATGTAGCATGACCCCTTCGAGTCCAGAACATACCTAGTATCCTAGAGTATTATCTAGCAATACTCTACTGTTCTATGATATGGTTAGCTTTGGTAGGTCATGGTGGGAATTTCTTAATCTCTTATATATAACTTCCTAATGTAAAAAATGATAACTTATATAATATACAATCATTTTACATGTACGTCTTTGGTACACTATCCATTTATAAATGGGAACAGACTCTATTAGAGTATAAACAAAGATCAGCATTCAAATGTTTAAAAAGTAAATTTTTATATCCTACAAAGCAAGTTTTATTGTGGTTTAGTGATATGCTAAATAATCTTAATTTTATAACATTTGGAAAGACCCTGCTTATCCAGATGACACCTCCTTCTAAGGCACATATTAGATATTTTTAGACATGCTGGAAATACACTTGCAGAGTCAATCTATTAGGTAAAGACCAACTTTGAAAATGACAACAACAAATGATTCTTTTTTGATACTCAAGACCTTTAATGTTATATTTTAAAAATTAACTAATTTTTAAAAATTACTCTTTCTTAAAGTGTCAAGAGAACTGTGTAGTACTGTGTAATACTCTTGAATTTATAAGCATCACATTCTGTTGGATCTTATAAGAAAAATTATTAACTTCTTAAGACAACTTGTTAAGACAGCCTGATGATAGCTTTTACTAATAACTTAATGAATAACTTATACACAAGTTTTAAAATGTGCCAATATTTCAAATAATTTACAATTCTTTTAAAAAGATTTAGGATTTTTAAAAATCAAGCACTTTAGTATTTCCCATACATACCAGTGACCATATGTAGTACACACATTTATACTTCTCCTTCTGAAGGTAAATTGTTGCTTTGCATTTAGTTTTTAAATACTAATCAATTATAAATACTAAAATGTTATATACAGTTTATAAATTTAATTTTATACTAAAATAGGGAGGTTTAAGAGATGCTCTCAAAACTGACATAAACAATATCAAGTTATTATAAATGTAATTAAACTTGTTATTTAAAAAGTGGACATTTTGAAACAAATCTGATGTATAAGAAATCTATCACATGAAATGAATTTTTAAACAAAATGTAAAACATAATGTATAAAAATATTTGCCTCAGGAAGAAAATCTTGTTGAACATTAGAGTCCGAGGTTCATATTGAACTCAAAATATTAGGAAGATTAAGTGATTCTCTGAACACCAGTGAGAAGTGTGTGGAAGACAGAGGTCACCCTTTGAAAGAAGATCTCTGTGACCTGTGTAAACTGGAGCCCCACAAACACTTCCAACAAGCATAGGTCAGGGTGGGGTCATGGCTCCAGGCCCTCTGGACCACTGTTCGCCCAGTGGAGTGTGCTCACCGCGTTAATCTCTCGTCCTTCAGCTCCAGGTCTTCCACTGTGATGAGCTGATCCAGTTTGAATTTAGTGTCAATAATTTCTGCATCCCGAGGAGAGTATGTGCCACCTTCTTTCTGCTTCTGTCGAATTCTAAAACAAGTACAATAAAGTCCAAGAAAGGAATATCTTTAAAAGCATAAGAATTAGGTTTAGTTTTCCTTTCAAAATATTTTATTGGTGCATTATAATTATACATAATAATGGGATTCATTGTTATAGTATTACATATTCATAGATGTACATGATAATAATTTGGTCGATTTCATTCCCCAGTACCTCCCCTTTCTCTCTGTTCTTCTATCATTCCCAGTCCTCTTTCCCTACTGGTTTTTTTTTCATTAGTTTTCTTTATAAGTGAAGACATTTAATCAGATCATTTCTTTGTTAGAATCATTTCTCAGAATATGTGGCAATTTTAGAACTATTCAATTTTGTTTTGCCTGTTTTAATTCCACAGAACATTTTCTATTAAAGACTTTTAAAAGATAAAAATTTTGAAACAAATTGTTTGGTTTACATCCACAATTTAATAAGACTTGGTTGATCAAGGCCTGAACAACTGGCATATTTGAAATAGATGAGTCAGGGAGACTGAGGCTATGACCAGTTTCTTCTCACTCTAGCTGTCTCACTGATTTGCCATGAAAAGAAAATATGTTAAAGAGGAAATAGCTCAGTACTATTAATGTCAGTGCTAAAAAAATCCATTGTTTTTATATAATGAAACATTTTTACATGCATGCAAATACATATAAATGATTTTTAATTGCCTCATTGAATTTTTATGAAAATATTATGAAGAATATTATCTTTATTATAATCAGAAAACTCAGGTTCAAAATGAAGTCATATGAATCTGACAGCCTATAAATAATATTGATATTATGAGGTAATATGTAGCTATTTTATCAGCCACATAATTAACATTCATTATTTATTATGTATTACATATTGATGAAGAAATAGAAATTATAAAACATGGTCCCTATCTTCCAGGCACTAGGACCACTGCCCTTATGGATTTCAGTCCTGCATTATTATTATTTCTTCTGGAAATCAAGCCCACCTGGATGAGTTCTCACTGCCTCTGAAGTGAAAACTCTCTCCATCCCTTTGGTTTAGGATTCCAAGAAGATCCAGCCCATATATCCCATCCAAAAAGAATTAGATGCTTCTACAAGCAATTCTAGTCTGCCTATCCTCCAATAATGATGGATAACTTCTACAAAAGAGCTCCCTGTCCTCTGCCCTGTTTGCCCACTGATAGGTTGCACATGACAACATTAGTTTGGGACTTCTTTCAGTCTTAGTTCCTTTACTGTCCTGTCCCTCAGACTAAGGAGAGTAGTTGCTTTCTTGCATTTGCTACTTCTAGGCTCCTTAGAATTCTCTTTTACCCACTTTTAGTAGCTTACCATTTCTTTTATTTAATATTCTTCACATTAAATTTTTCCCATTCAGATGACAGGAATTCCTTCCTTAGTCAATCTATGCTGCATATGTACTTCAGAACATCATAGTACACATGATAAATGAATAAAAAGTTTTTTTTCTGTCAATTTAAGAAAACTAAAAAGTAAATGTTTCCCATTCATATAACTACTGAGGATTCTGTCTCCTGATTGGACTGTGATTGATATAATGCCCGTAAAGCATCCTGGGAACGTGAGTACAAACAAATCTTACCTTGCAAATGCAAATATGGCTGTTCCAAGAAGAATTATTGAAAGGATACACAATGTTACTGAAAGAATGACCTCTACAGTTCTTTCTGAGAGTCCTTCACCTGGAAAAGAGGGGCAACATTATCAGTAAACATTGTCATAGAATACTATTTTGGGTTTCAAATCACAAAGAAAGATATTTTCTTGTTATATTGCTCAAGAATACAATTAAAAAAAAAACCTGCTTATTCTCTTTTCCTAGATCATTTAATTTGGGGGCTCAATCCTTGGTCCTTTCCTCTTTCTAAACTCACTCCTTTGTAATCTCATCTAGCCTCATGGTTTTTACTTTTTACCTGTATAATGATGACTAGGATTTTAACCTATCAAATGCCATTCTTGTATAACCAATTGCTTACTATAAAGTTTATTTATAAGTATAACTAAAATATCAAAATTATTATGTGTGAAGCTGAGCCCCCACACTTTCTTCTTTTCAACTGCATCCTTCCATCTCTCAGAAGAAATTTTATTACTCCTGTTGCTCAGGAGTATATTTCTTACCCTAACCCTGAGCAACAGGAGTAATAAAATATATATATATATATATAAAATATATAGTAATAAAAAAATATATATATAGTAAAATATATTATATAAAATTCATGAGGAAATTCTGTTGCACTGTATTCAAAGTATGCACAGTATTTACTATATGAATGCAAGGAGCCTTGAAGAGACAGTAATTCCAAAGTAGGAATAGGAGTAAAATAAATTCAAAATATATAATGGTACCATAAAACCAGGAAGCTAACAAAGGCTAATAGCATGAAGTGAATAAAAGATAGGGGCTGTGATTGTGACTCAATGGTAGAGTGCTTGCCTAGCATGTGTGAGGCACTGGGTTTGATCCTCAGCACCACATAAAAAATGAGCAAATAAAGGTATAAAAAAAATAATCTTGAAGGGGCTTCTAATGGCCAAAGAGATAATGATTTAATATGTTAAAGAATAAAAACTGAAAATTTTAAAACAGGTTGAATATATTTTAATGAATGATTTTATATTTTAAAAAATGATTTTAAAAATCATTTTTAAAACATTAATATTATCAATAAGAGAAAAAATAAATAAAAATACTGATTTGTAAGATTTAATTATGGCAACACCATTTTCTTACTATAAATAATTGTAATCAACTCTGATTAAAATTTGTAATTTTATGGTTCATATGAACTGTATTTTATGAATTATTTTTTTAAAGAAAATAGCCCTAGTTAAGAAGATAAAGCTCTTTGTTTGAAGAGAATTCTACTTAATAAATGTAGAAAGAATAAAATTAAAGAAATGCAGAGGGATAAAATTTTTTAAATGACCATTTCATATTCCTAATGAAATAACTGATTCAGGTAACAATCATAAATGCATTTTAAAATATTAAGAGAAAGGTTGATAGGGAATTAAACATTAGTATGATGTCAAAATATCACCCCATCTACTATTTGCTGATGGTAAGTAAGAAAACACAGCTTTATAAGGAGGAATCATACTGTTACTTCCTACAAATCAATTTTACCATCCATGTAATAACAAGCTACTACATACATATTACATAGTATTAAAATATTAAAGATTTATGGTTGATTGTCTTTAACTATGGCAATATAATAATTTTTTTATTAAGAAACATGCTGAAGCTTTAGCACTGGAATATCATGCTGTCTATAACCTACCATAAATTATTTCAGAAATAAATAATGAATTGTAAAAAATCAATGAAAAGAATGTCAAAATGTAATAATCTTGAAATTTAGTTAGAAGGTATTTGAGGGTTCATGATGCTCTTCTTTCTACTTATAGTTTTGCTCCACTCTCTTCTTAACAAGCTCTGCTTCTTGTACCCTGATCCAGGCCACCACCTTGTCTTGCATGAATTATTGTAAGGACACCTAACAAGACTCCCTGTCCACCCTTGTCTTGCCATCTATTTTTAACAGAGAAACCAGGATAAGCTTTTTAAAACATCATCCCTCTCTGAAAATCCTCCTCATGGCTCACAGAGGAAAGCTAAAGTCCCTCCAATGGCCCCTGTGACCTGGTCTCTGATTTACTCTCTGGACCCCAGTTAACTCTCTTACTTCCCTTCCATACTTACCTTGTTCAGGCTCTGGAGCCAGACTAGCTTTTTTACTGAAGAGTGACCACATCACTCATAGTATATTGTTTTTGTGGTAATTTCTTCCTCTGCCTGAAGAGGTAAAATACTTGAGAATCTGCCTGAGTGACCATTTCATTCTCTGCAAGGGTTTGCTCAAACACTTTCTCAATGACTACTTGCTATGGACTGAACACTAATCACCCCCAAATTCATATGTTAAAGTGCTAGCCACCAGTGTGGCTGGATTTGGAGAAAGGAAGAAATTAGTTTAAATGACATCATAAGGGTGGGGCTCTGATCAGATAGAATGAGTGTTCTTGTAAGTACAGATGCAAGAGAGTTTACGCTATTGTGCTTATTCTCTCTCCTTCCTTCTTCTACTCTCCTTCCCTCTTTGCCCTCTTCCTCTCCCTTTCTACTTCCACACTTGTACCAAGTAAATGCCATGTGAGGACACAGAAAGAAGGCATCCATCTGTAAGTCAGAAGAAGGACCTCACCAGATACCACATGTGCTGGAACCTTGATCTTAGACTCTACATGGTAAGAAAACAAACTTCTGTTTTGAAGACACCTGGTCTATGGTATTTTGTGGTGGCAGCCTGATCAGACTCCACCGTATCTAGGATACCACCTGTACCCTGGATAGAGCATTAATCTCCAGGTTATACAAAGAACTCATAAAATTCAGCACCAAATAATAATAATAATAATAAGCTAATCAGTAAATGGGCAAAGGATTCGAACAGGCACTTAACAGAAGAAATACAAGTGGTCAACAAATATATAAAAAAATGTTCAACATCTCTAGCAATTAGAGAAATACTAATTAAAATCACACTGAGATTCCATCTTACTCTAGTCAGAATGACAATTATTAAGAATATAAGTAACAACAAATATTGGTGAGGATGTGGGTAGAAAGGTTCATTCATACATTGTTGGTGGAATTGCAAATTGGTGCTCCACTCTGGAAAGTAGTATGGAGATTCCTTAGAAAACCTGGAATGGAATCACCATTTGACCCAGTTATCTCACTCCTTGGTCTATACCCAAAGGACTTAAAATCAGCATACTACAGTGACACAGCCACATCAATATTTATAGCAACTCAATTTACAATACCCAAGCTATGGAAGCAACCTAGGTATCCTTCAATGAATGAATAGATAAAGAAAATGTGGTATTTACACACAGTGGACTATTACTGAGCCATAAAGAAGAATTAAATTGTGGCATTTGCCAGTAAATGGATGGAACTGGAGAATATCATGCTAAGTGAAATAAACCCACCCCCCAAAACCAAAGGGCAAATGTTCTCTCTTATATATGGATACTAACCCACAACAAGGAAGGGTAGGGTGGAGAAGAAAAGAAGTCCACTGATTAAACAAAGGGAAATGAAGGGAAGGAATGGGAGGGGTATAGGAAGGACAGTAGAATTAATTGGACATAACTTTCATAGCCTTGTATTTGTACATGACCAGGTTAACTCAGCATTATGAACAACTACAAGAATAGGATCCTAATTAGTATAGGTTACACTCCATGTATGTATAGTATAACAAATTACATTCTACTGTCATGTATGACTAAAATAAATGAGCAAATAAATAAATAAAATTTTAAAAAATTAAAATATATACACATTCCATGTACTTTCTGCCTCTCCTCTTCTACACCCCCTACACTCTGTTTTACTTTTTCTTTTCTCCATATATCTTATGTTTTAAAATATTTACATATTTTTTATTCTTATTATTTACTGTCCAGAATGTAAGCTCCCTGAGGACAGAGGTCATTGTGCTATTTAAAACTACCCCCAAGTTCTGAGACTAGTAATGGAAAGATGGCAAATGCTCAAAAAACATTTGTTAAATTTACTAATGAACAAATATATGATTTTGAAGTGATATTAAAATTTTCAGGTTGACAATTTAGCACTGAACAAAATAAGATGAAAATTATTAAACAGTTATTTTAGGCACAACTACTAATTATAAGCAATTTTAAGTTACATGATTTATAATTTTGCTGGAAAAAATGTTTCAGTTCAATGATACAACACATTAACTATGTATAAAATATGCAGATTAATATTTTATCTTTTTCTCTAGATTGTTGCTTATGAATTGCTACCAATATGAAAGGGTTCCTGTGGCTATCCTGCATGGTACATTTAAATGAATAGTGAATTTTTAACAGTTATCAGAGCTTCATGGTCCCCTACTATCTCCAGCTTCATTTAAAAGATGCTGTTAACAGCCCATATCTTAAAAATATTTTAGCTGCACTGTTTTCATACATTAAAATATGGTTTGTTTTATGAATTTCACATGCTATCTCTAATTGGATATGCTTGGGAAAGGAAGCATGAAGATGAATAAAGAATCATCTTATCAGGTTCCAATGAATCACTGGGCCTTAGAACTCAGTGGGGAAAAAATGTTTTCATAGACCACACACACAAAAAACTTCAGATTAGATTTCCATTTCAAAGCACTGGCCAAGTGAGGAAATGACATATAATATATTAATAAACAATATGTAATCTTCTGGGCACATGCATTTCAAAAGTGCCACCAGGAGAGGACAAAATGTACCCTGATTGTCAAGTTCACTTTCTGATTCACTGCTGTGCATGAACCCACAGAGCATTACCAGTACAGAATGAGGTCACTTCTCCAAATCCTTTCAGATAAAATAGAATTTTTTTACTTGCTTCTTTTTGTAATATGCACAAGTCATTTCCTAACTTGATTTAAAACACTGTGACAGAACAAATTAAATTGTTTTGCTTGCATAATTAATTATCCTGTTGTAATTTAATTCATCAAATTGCAAAGCACTAACTTTTCATAAGCATTATCTTTTAACTCAAATTATTATTTAAATTCAATATAGGGATCCAAAGTTTTAAGCTTTTTAAAACACCTATAAGAAGACCCTGGAATTAAATGACATA